TTAAATGCCGTGCTCCATGTGGTATTGTAGTCAAGATTCCTCCTTTGTCCTATGTGTCGTGTGGTTAAGTGTGTATGTTAGAGATTTTGGTCCAAGATGCCTTCCTCATTGTCTTCTAGTGCCGTGTAAGTGAGTGATGTATATTAGTGCATTTTGTTCAAATTTCCTTCTTTGTTTTCCTAAATGCTGTGCATGTAGTGGGTATTTGTTCAAGCATTTCTTCTTCATTTTTTTGGCATCATCTAGCATGTTGTGCCATGTGTCTTAAGCTTTAAGTTGCATGGGTGCTAAGTGTCCTTAGCCATTGACCATGTGATTCTCCCTCACTTGTCTTTCCTTAGGCCATCTTATAAGAGTGGACTTGAAGAAATTTCCATCTTCTTGTAGACCGAGACTATCATGTTATTTAGTTCGATTTTTTCGTTAGGCGTTCATGCGTGTTATGGGTAGTATAAGCCGTAGCCGTAGCCGTGCCGACCATGTCATGTTATAAGTTATTTTCTCCGGCCATTCTTGCATGTTTAGCCTTTATTTGCAATATCATGTTTAGATTAGCTATAATGTTCGGATAATTAGCCATGAGGTGGTGCTTTGGTCGAAGAGGTGTGGTCGCACACTTAGTGCGCACCACAGACCGCTCTCGTGCTATTGCATGTTAAGTTCAACTCTCCGATTAATTATGGGTTATCATGTTCAGTATAGTCATGTTTAAGCTCAGTTAATTTATATTGCCGAGAGAATATGAGTATGGGTCGTGGAACGGCTTAACGCCGTAGGCGGCGCACGACGCTGATGCGGAAGTGGGTTTCGAGCCCCAACGAGGAGATGGTCCATAGGAAGGTAACATTCGGGCGCAAGAAAGGGCGTATTAGAAAAGGGCGAGAACACGCGCATTGGCCGCATGGCGCAACGGGGCTACAAGCGATGGCGCGCCTTGGGCGTGGGATGAACGAGGGGCAGCGCTGGGCGCACGGGGGTGCGCGGTAGGCGAGCAGGCCGCGGGCGTTGGAGGTACGCGCGGAGTAGTAGGCGACGGACGTGTGTATCGTGCTGGGCGTACGGGTAACGTGTACGCGGGTGAAGGCCTAGGCCCAGTAGGCCAAGGATTGGCGCGGCAACACACGCGCAAAGAAGCCAGTTGGGATGGGGCGTGCGCATGGGCGCACGAGTGCGATGCGGGCGATGTCCTAAACCACGTAGGCATAGGGGTTGCCCAGAGTGCGGGGCGTACGGCGACACGCGTGAGGCACAAGGCAAGAATATGGCGGCATGCCTAATCCTCGTAGGAATAGGCAAGGCGCGAATACTAATCCTCGCAGGAATAGGAATAGCGGATAGGGGCTCAAAGCATAATCCTACAAGGAATAGGAGTGGTGCAGCAGGCACGAGAGACCTAGTCACCAAAGGACTAGGCGAACATGGCAGCGACGCGCGAGACGTGGCACACGGACGAGCGGCATGCCTATGCGCGGTAGGCATAGGCGAAGTGCGCGTGCGAAGCAAGCAAGGCGCGCGATGCCTCGCGCGCCAAGGAATAGGATAGCCGAGGGCGGCGCGTGTAGAGGTGGACTTGGACATGCGCAAGACTCAAGCTTCTAGAAGTACTTGGTGTGCAAGTCAAGACATTAGGAGATCTAGTAGATTTAGGAATTTATGGTAGTAGGATATTTACTAGCCTTAGGATTTAATATTTAATTGTTTTATTAGTTTCCTAGTAAGATTAGAACTAGAGGTAGTTGGCATCTATAAATACCCCATGTACCTCATCATTATTTGACATGTTGAATGAAGTATTGAATTGGTGAGCCAATCTTGAGGGGGAACTTTATGTTCTTAACGTGTGATAAAGAAGGTCATTAGTGCGTCTTTACATACAGTGTCAGAGAGAAGGCCAATAGTGCATCTTGAAGTCACGGTATCTAGAAGAAGGCCCTGAGTGTGTCTGCTAGATACACCTATCGGGGATAAACGAAGGCCGCAGTGCGTCGTTTATTTGCAACCCAAGTATAGACAGAAGATCGATCCGTCATCATTGGTGCTTTCATTGAGAGGTGCTGATCGATTTTTTGTCTATTTTATCTTTCATTTTTTTCGGTTTGCCTTTTGCTGAGGGGCCGAATTTCTCTTTATTTTTTGTTGGGGTTCGAATTTTTGTTAGAATTTTCCCTTTTTATTTTCGAATTTGAGTCAAAAAAAAAAAAGTGTCATCTTGTAAGTCCTTTGTTATTTTTTCGGTTATTACCTTTTGTTGAGGGGCCGAATTTCTCTTTGTTTCGATTTTTTGAGTCTTGTTGGGGGTTCGAATTTTTCGAATTTTTTTCCCTATTATTTTCGAATTTTTTTGAAAAAAAAAAAAAAATCATGTTGTTCGAGCCATTAGTTGAGTGGGATCAAGAGGATCTTGAATATTTGGAAGGATTGGAGAGGGAATTAACCCCATGGGAGCAATATTATTTAGAGAAGATGTATGGGCAAAAGAAGGAGTATGAAAGACAACTCAAGATCATGAAGGAGTTCGTCGAAGAAGAGCCATTGTTTGAGTTTGATCTATCGGGCTATGTTCAAGACAAGGCAGTCGAGTGTGAGGTCGACCAAGTCGAGTGCGAGGAACCGTTGTTCGCCCACGAGTTCACGAACGAGGATGTAGACGAGGCGATGGGCGATGTCAAAGTTGAAGTCTTGGTCGAGGTTCGAGAAGGGATCGATGTTGAGGGTGAAGCGGCGCACATCGACGGCGAGGCCGGAAGGAGTCGAAGGGGCCGAGGTCATTGGTGCGATCTTGGTCGTGGATGGTGGGTGCAAAACGTGCACGCGGGAACAGCGCGCGCAACACATCGAGGTCGTGGCTGGAGGATCCGAAGTGCTCGCAGTCGGCGAGAAGATGAGCGTGGAGGACAAAGTAATCGATGTTGCAAGTGAGATTATGGTCGAAGAGATGTTCGAAGTTGAGATGTTGGTCGCGGTTGAAGCGGGCCAGGATGAGGAGGCGTACGCACAGTATGGTGTGGATACACGTATGGTCGAAGAAGATGTGCCCGATGCTTGGATGGTTGAGCATGAGTCCTTGAGGACAAGGACATTCTCAAAAGGGGCGGGAATGATGCGGAAGTGGGTTTCGAGCCCCGACGAGGAGATGGTTTATAGGCAGGTAACATTCGGGCGCAAGAAAGGGCGTATTAGAAAAGGGCGAGAACACGCGCATTGGCGTATACGCGCAAGGCGCAACGGGGCTACAAGCAATGGCGCGCCTTGGGCGTGGGATGAACGAGGGGCAGCGCTGGGCGCACGGGGGTGCGGGGTAGGCGAGCAGGCCGCTGGTGTTGGAGGTACGCGCGGAGTAGTAGGCGACGGACGTGCGTATCGTGCTGGGCGTACGGGTAGCGTGTACGCGGGTGAAGGCCTAGGCCCAGTAGGCCTAGGATTGGCGCGGCAACACACACGCAAAGAAGCCAGCTGGGACGGGGCGTGCGCATGGGCGCACGAGTGCGATGCGGGCGATGTCCTAAACCGCGTAGGCATAGGGGTGCTGGGCGACGAGTGCGGGGCGTACGGCGACACGCGCGAGGCACAAGGCAAGAATATGGCGGCATGCCTAATCCTCGTAGGAATAGGCAAGGCGCGAATACTAATCCTCGCAGGAATAGGAATAGCGGATAGGGGCTCAAAGCAAAATCCTACAAGGAATAGGA